AGAGCCCCAGGATTTCCTCATTACTTGGCTGGTGACTTCACCCAGTCCTGTTCTCTGTGCCTACATTCCTACGATCTCACTGGCTGGAGAGGAGAGGCTTCCTCGCCAACAATCCACCTGTACTGACTTGGCTCTGTACTGTTCACACCGATTCCCCTCTCTCTCTCTCCATGGATGTCGGAATGATCTGCAAAGCTTACTGTCATCCACTGATCTGCTCATTCAGCAGGATGAACGGTGAGGCTCAGTGAGAAAAAGTGAACTTACTCCAGGTACAGGAGGGATATTGTCCATCTGTCTTTACTTATACCTTGGAAGGCATTTTGGCCAGGCTGCCTACCTGACACGATGGGAAAGAGCTCTTGTACTTCTGTAATCTTTCAAAAGAATTTAAAAAGCCAAGCCCTCAGGTCACTGCGGTGAAGTCAGCACTGACCCACAGGTAAGGCTGTGAACCGCCTGTCTCACATGGAGTTGCTGGAGGATCCAATCCACCAGGGAAGCGACATGCCATCTCTGGGTGAGCAAGGCCACTTCCCGCCCATGAGGCCACCACGGCACCCACTTCTGAATATTGTCAAATTAGGTCCCCATTTCGAAGTCATTTCTCATTCCACAATAAGCAGCACTGATAATTTTTTTTTAACTATCTGATTAAAAATGAAAAACCAAAAGTTGCTGTTAAGGCCATTTCCTTCAATTGCCTAGACCAAAATTTCTACCAACAAGTGTAATTTACATACCATAAAGTGAACCCATTTGACCTCTCCAGATTAAGAGTTTTGTTTTCTTTAAAGTGAAATATTTTCAGTAACCAAGTAAAATCGTTCAGGTCCCTTTACAGTTAATGCTCCTTCTCACTCCTGGCCCCAGACAATCACCATTTCTGATAAGTTTCTAATAAACGGAACCTTTCGGTGTGGGCCCTTTCTTGGGTGTGGCTTCTCTGTGACTTCCATGATCCAATACTGTTGAATCAATTCTAATGATTAACCTTCACTTAGCAGCCTGTTCTGAGGCCTATCCACGCTGTGGCAGGTCCCAGAACTGCTTATTGTTCTACTGTACACAGTACTATATCCGTTCACTGGTTTATGGGAGCTGCAGTTGTACTCTGTGGCCTTTATCAATGATGCTACTAAATATCTTGCCCCATAACATACTTGTAAAGCACATATTCCTTACGGTCTTAAGTACCAGGAGAATCAATCTTACTATTTCTTTTTAGAGCTACTTTTAAGTCACGGAGTGGAATGGTTATCAACACTTAACGAAACTATCAAACCCACTGAAATATTTAATAGAGTCATAAGCTAACAGAAACTAGTTTATCCTTTCTATGTTTTAGAAAATGATTCCTTGAACCCAATACATTATTAACGAGGGCAGATAAAGAATCCAAGATAGACAGCAATGTGTGAGTTATAAAGTGAACTGTCTTACTATTATTGGTGCTGTTGCCATTAAAAGACCCGGAGGAACTGCTGCTGTCTTTCTCCTTGTCTTGGTTTTCAAAATCCATATTAAGGGACCTGTGGAAAGAAATGTCTACGTTTTAGTTCTGCTTTAGGAAGAAGCAGGTAAGACAAGTCAGTAATGAGAGACCATTTTACAATGCTTAGGAAAGTGGGAAGAACACTGCTGAGCAGCTTCTGTGACACGGTTCTTACTACCACGTTTAAAGACAAGGCCAAACCCCTCTACACGGCTTCCAGTTGTCAGCTGGAGCGTTTTCCTGACTGCAGACAGGCACCCCGTTATGGTGACTCTCCCAGCTGTATCTCTGTGCACAGCCTTAACGACTTCCTTAGGATAAATACCTAGAAGGCGAATTGCTGGGCCAGAGGGCCAGCACAGTCTTGAGACTCTTACATTCTATACATCATCTGCCAAAAAGGTTGTTCCGATTCTCTCTTAGCAACGCCTGAGAGTCCTTGTTTGGTAGGAAAACAATCCTTGCCAACTTGGATTCAGCAGCAGCAAGACGAGCTTCTGCTCCAGGCAGGGGCTGGTCTAGGCAGTGGGGAGGGAACGGACACAGTGAGGAACACAGGCTCGGAAGGATTTTACTGTGGAGTGATAGACCACTCACAGCTGACCCTCCAGCGGGCTTCCAGAGGCTGTGACCTGACTGGGAGGAGTCTGCCTCATCTTCTCAAGGAGCCGCTGGCGGATTCGAACCACCAGAGAGATGCCACCAGAGCTCCCCTATGACATTAACACCCATGTGCAATAGGAACACCAGCACGAAATGCGCAGGTTGGGGCCTGACATTTCAGACAGGTTTCCTGACTTCTGAGTCAACACCGAGGGCTTCTGAGTGGGGAAGAACTAAAAATGGTATCTCCCTTTGTCTTGATTTACGATTTTTTGATTATCGAACAAGTGAGTGTGAGCTTATCCACTCTGTAAACTCCGTTTTAACCCCTCAACCATATTCTCCTGAGAAGTTGCTTTAAAGGGGTGTGTGTGCCCTAAAGACGTTTCCGTGATGATGGAAAGGTCCCATGTGTGTACCGACCACTCTGGGAGCCTGGTGACTGGACGTGTGGCTAGGGCGACGTCCGAAAGACCCAGCGTTGCTATAGCAGGGAAACCACATGTGGGTGGCTTTAATTAACAAAAGGAAAATGATTCTCAATGGTTTAGGTGACTAGAAGTGCACTTAGGGTGCAGGGTGGATGTGAGGCCGTCTCTGGAGAAGTTCTCACTCCTTAGCATCTGCAAGCCAGCTGCCCCTTAGAGGGCCTTCCTGGTGTCAAGGGGCTCCCCCAGCTCATGGGCAGGGTCCAAGCGGACGAACTCCACTCTACTTACTTGTGGCTACTAGTTCTGGATGGTGCTGAAGGCCCCCAACAGTCTGGGCGTGCTTTCTCCCCTCTTATTTTACAGATTATACACTGGAGAAACATCCCTTACCATGAGGGAATTAAGAACTGTGCCATTCCACCCTTAATCCTCTTGGAACTATTTGGTTTATTAGATCATGAAGGATCATTACACAGCTCCCGCACTGTGCCATTCCGTACATGTACATGGTGGGGTGGTAGGGTCATAATTCAATTTATGACCATGACGAAGGAACTGAATCTTCTATCTCATTTTTCATTTAAGTAATTTAAAAGCCAAACTTTTTTTAAGCGAGCTCTGGTGGCCTAGTGGCAAAAAGCTGCATTGCAATCCCAGAGGTATGTGATTCGAATCCACCAGATGCTCTGCTGGAGAAGGAGGGACTATTTCCTGTACCAGTCAGATCCGATTTGACGGTACACACACACACACACACAAATAAATAAAATTAAAAAAATTAAAGAAAACACGCAACAAAACCAAACTTTTAAAGTAGAAAACACAGGCATAAATCCTTACGGGTTTGGCTGTGACAATGGTTTCCTAGATCCACCAAGCTGGGACCAACCCAGAGCTGAACCTCCAGAAGGTTTTCAGAGGCAGTAAACTGCACGGGAAGAGAGTGCCCACCTTTCTTCTGTGGAGCAGCTGGTGGACTCGAACTACATGCCTCTTCACAGCTGTTTGTGAGCCCACTCTTGAAGGCCTTGTGCTAATCTGTCTTGTTGAAGGTCCTTCCTATTTCTCACTGACTCTTTGTCGCATTTCTTCCAAGATAGATTTGTTCATTATTCTGGCAGTCCATGGTATATCCAAGATTCTAAGATCTTCCTATTCAATGTCCAGTTTTCCCAGGCACATAAAAATGCACAATTAATTGCTATTGAGTTGGAACTGACTTATAACTTTCCAATAGGCTTCCAGAGGCTATATTTACCCGATTTCAAAACTGGATGCAGAAGTTAGAAGTAAGGACATATTGGTAATTGAAAAATGTGACCTTGGTGACAGACACAACTCTGGCAATCACATGGTAGAATTTTGCACAAGGGAGCTCTGGTGGTAAGAAGCTGAGCTGCAATCCTGAAGGCATGTGGTTCCATGAGAGGGGGATGATCAGCTATGGGTTGGTTCTGATTCAGTACACAACATTATCAACAATGACTACAGATTTGTGGGTCTTGGCAGATGGAATATAAAGGAATCAGGTTGATCACATCTCTGGGAAGAGATGGAGATCATCAGTATCACCAACAAGGCCAGGGCCAATAGATCATTATTTGTTCATGTGCAAATTCAAGTTGAAGAAAATGAAAACAAGTTCATGAGACTCATGACCTTGACTATATCCCATCTGCATTGAGACCATCTCAAGAACAGCTATGATACATGAAACACTAATGACTGAAGAGCAGATCCACTGCTGAATGACATCCTACATGAAGAAAGCAAAAGGTCATTAAAGAGATGGGGAAGGAAGCAGATGTTAGAAGAAACTCTTAAGATCCCTCCTGAATATTCAGTGAACAGGAGAAATAAAGTAAAAGCAGAAAAGATGATGTCAAGAGCAGCTATAGGAGGATCAAGTAAAAGACAATAAAGTGAACAAAAACCAAAAGGGAGGAAAACAGCAATTCTCAAGCTGAAAGAATTTAAGGAAAAAGTAAAACCTTAAGATACAAAACTGGAGGCAAAATAAAGCATTGCTTGTTGTTGTTATGTGCTGTTGAGTTGCCAGCTACTCACAGTGAGCCTCTGCACAACAGCTCTGAACCCTGCTCTGTCCTGGGCACATCTACCCGCATCACCCCAGTGTCACTGAGTCAATCCATCTCCTCGAGGGTCTTCCTCTCCTGCGCTGTCCCTCCACCCTTCCAAGCATGATGCCCCTCTCCAAGGACCTCTTTGCAACATGCCCAAAGTATAGAACATAGCATAGGAAGCATCAAAAGATCCTATAAAGAATTGGTTCCGGTTAAAGCTCTTCAGGAGGTAGCATACAATCAAGAGCCAGTAGCATTACAGGAAGAAGTGAAAGCTTCACTGAAAAACACAAGGCTGCAGGAACTGGCCGAATACCAAGTGAGAGACTTCAACAAGTTGATGCAGCTCTGTAAGAGCCATCTGTCTATGCCAAGGAATCTGGAAGGCAGCTCCCTAGCAAACCAACTGGAAGAAATGAGTATTTGTGCCGATTCCAGAACAAGGTGATTCAACCTAATGTGCAAATTACTGAACAATTATCATTAACATGATAGAATCACGCAATGGTTGCAGCAGGACATCAACAGGTAATTGACAAGAGATTCAAGCTGAAACCAGAAAAGTCAGGCTACAGTCAGAACAGGATTACGAAACAAGGCTTAAGCCACCTACTCTGCCAGCTTTGTGTGAAACAAGGAAATAAAGGCTTCATTCTCTTTAAAAAAAAAAGAAAGAAACAAGGCTTATCACTATTGTTTCCAGATGGATTTTGGCTAAAAAAGCAGAGAAAAATGTGTATCTGTTATTTTATTGACTATTCAAAGGCATTCAACTGTGTGGATCCTAACAGATTACAGAACAGGAATCCTAGAACTCTTAACTGTGACCATGCAGAACTTGGACAAAGACCCAAGAAGTAGTTTTCTGAACCGAACCAAGAGGATATGATACCGTCTAAAGGCAGTAAAGGTATACCTGTCTCAGATCTGTGTCCTTTCAAAGACTTGTTCAATCTATATATTGAGCAAATAATCTCAGAAGCTGGACTATACGAAAAACGCAGCATCAGCAATGGGAAAATTCCTGAACAGCCAGCAGGATGCAGACGACACCGCCTTTGCTGAGGGCTGGTCTCTCCCAGGGATAGTTTTTTAACCAGCTGTAAGGCTGAGGGAGAAAGATGGACAATCTCTCTTGTACTCATTTCCATTTGTGATTTGCTGAGAACTATTTAAAACTCTGTTCCTGATCCTTTTTTGGTTTGTAAGCGTGATGGCTGGGTATTCATGCTTTTATATGACATGTGCCTCCCTTAAACCCTGTTATGATGTTGGCACATGACCTGTCTGATGTGGAAAAAAAAATACTGTCCCAGTTATTCCAAGGAGAGGATTTCTTCTTTTCAAATAGCTGTTCAGTTTTCTTTGAACCTAATTTGATAAGAAAATTTTAGATAGACTAATAGGTTTGACAGAGGGAAGAGAGAAAGAAGTTCTCATTGGCTCAAAGACGCCTGGTTAAAATCAGCTCTTGTCGGATCATTAGACCATGAGGTGCTAACTACACAAAACACTAGTTAAACGAGGTTGTAGTACTCCAGGTGCTTGTCCAAACAGAAAAGACAGCTGTCTTCTGAGTTTTCAGGAACAAATTCGGCAGGCCGGGGTTGGCAGGTGCCAGGCCACTGTGACTGGGTGGGGTTCAGTAACTGTCATCTGCACTGTGTCGCTATGAACTGTCCTTGACTCGACGGCACCTATGAACCACATGAAGGGTTGCTGTGAGTTGGGACTAACCTGAATGCAATGGTTTGGGGTTTTTTGTTTGTGTTTTTTAGATGAAGGAGGGGCTGAACAAATGTCCAATTACTGATGTGCTCACAGAATGCACATCCAGATACTGCCTGCAATAATCCGGACAGATGAGGGGGCTTTCTAAGAGACCCACTGCTGTCGAGCTGCTTCCTGCTCCCTTTAAG